CTCCGGCGCGCTGCTGGGCGTGATGAAGAAATGCAAGGGCAAGCCGGAGCGGTCAATCGCCACCAGCTGGTTGGCGGTGCCCTCTTGCCAGGCCTTGAGGGTGATCCCCGGGTAGAAGGGCACCCCGCCGATGCTCTCCACCCGGGAGTTGGTGCGGTTGGCCAGGTACTGCTTGGTGAAGGCGTCCTGTGTGCTGAGTGAGCCGCCGATGTTGAAGTCGATGATGCTGTGGAAGGAGGCCCCGGCCGAGGCGGTGATGGCGCTCCGCGTGGACATGCTGTCCTGCACGAAGGCCGATTTGATCTGATCCTCTTGCACCAGGCTGGCCCCAGCGTCCACCGAGGTGACAACGTGGGTGCCGTAGTTCAGCACCAGCATCTCCGCCAGGTAGTCCGCCATGCGGCTCTGGTTGTTCTCCAGGTGCCCAGCGATGGCCACCAGCTGCTGATGGAAGCCTTTGTCCAGGGCTGCCGCGGGGTCGAACTTGGCCGTGTAGACCAGGTTCCGCACCTGGACCCGGGTGGTCACCGCCTGGTCCTTCACCTGGTGGGTCTTCATCTTGTGGAAGTCACTGGAGAACTTGCCGTTGAGCGAGGAGAAGAGGGAGACCTCCCCGTTGACGGAGGCGGCGGTGGCGCTCTGGTAGTCCCTCCAAGACTCGATGAGCTCCGAGTTGATCTCTAGGTTGCTCTGCTTGCGGGGGATGGTGAAGACCTCGTCCGGGATGAGGTAGGACCCGTCCTCAGTGGTTTTGCACTGCGAATAGCCCAGGCTGATCACTCTCCCCATATCCAGGTTCCTGAGATTGTCCCAGCCGCCGCCGGGCAGCACCTCCAGTCCCGAGAGCTTCAGGGCTTTCTTACACTCCTGCAACCCCATCACAGCGGGTGGCCCTGGCGGCTTCTCGGCTCCTTTCACCCAGGCCACCAGGCCCCAGGACAGAAGAGCCCCCAGCAACATCTTCATGGCTGGGGCGCCGCGCGGGAGGTGCAGCCGTCGGCGCGAAAAGGAGGGAGCTGCCGATACGTGCCGGTGGCTTAGCAGCTCCGAGCTCAGCTGTCTGCAAGTTCCTCCTTTCCATGCTCCAATTAACGTTCAGAAAGAGGGAAGTGATGGTGGATCCCAGTGCAAACTAGATAGTGGGCGGGGGGTAGACAGAGGGAGGGCTGAGCCCTCTTCCTCATTCCTCGTCGGGCCAGGAGATGGCTTTATCCAGTGTGGCGCACTGGGCACCGTTACCAGGGCTGCCCAGCTGCTGAGGCCTTCCACGGCCCGGAGACATGGGAATCCACCCAGCCTCGGCGGGGAGTGTCACTTGCTTTCGTTTACAGACTAGGAGATTTCTCTGGCGTTGCTCGGGTCCTTCACTCCGTTGTTTTTCTTCCTTTAAGTCGCTGCTCTGGGGCTGGGCTGGGGAGGGGGGCTCAGGACGCAGGCTGGCCGAGGGAAGGAGCCCTCTCTTACCAGCATTTTGGGGCCAGGTGAGCAGCGCCTCTCCCTGGCCGCTGCAGCTCCAGCGGGCACA